AAGTCTCCGAGCTTCAGCTGGACCAGCCTGACCTACTCGCTGCTGCTGGTGCTGGAGAAGTGCATCCAGAACCTGTTCATCGTGGAGTCGCTGTACCGCCGCCACAGCGAGGAGGAGGAGGACGCCGCCGCACCGCAGGTCTTCTCCGTCGCTGTGCCTCCTTATGACGGCATCCTCAACCACGGATACGAGGCGCACGATAAACACCGCGAGGCCGAACCCGCCGCCGGCAGCCACGCCCTCAGCAGGAAACAGCCCGACGCTCCACTTCCTGCAGGACAGCGGCTGGACGTGACGCCCGGACGCAAGCGGCAGATCCTCAAGAACATCTGCATGTTCCTCTTCATGTGCAACATCTCGGTAAGGAGACTCTGAGGAGAGTTTGAGAAAGTGTTAGTGATTATGAGTATAGTGACCAATCATATCGCCTCTGTTAAACTCCAATTTAAGCTTTACTGTGTGAATCCAGTGACAGCCGCTAGTTTGGGTGAACAAAGCAAGTCTCTCATATAACACTAATCTATTACAGACAGAAAACACCACTTCACAAACTGCACTGCACAGCCCCAAATCAGAAGTCAGGTCACATCATCATTACAGACAGTACAGCACACATTCATCTGGTCCTCTTTATTATTATTATCATTATTCTCCTCCAAAGTTAACCAGTATTTCCAGTTTTGGTTCTTGCAACACATCGTTTCCCACTCCATACTGCTGCCGCTCCTGTTCACAACACTTAAAGATGCTTACAGACTGAAGACAGCGGTGCTGACGTGTTTCAGGGGTCATTCTGTCCCATTCGTCCTGCAAACTAGTCTTGAGGTGGGCAACAGTACCGGGGTCTTTGGTGTCACATTTTGCACCGCACATTCTCTATTGGAGACAGGTCAGGACTGCAGGCAGGCCAGTCCAGTAGGTGTGTCCTCTTCCTCTGCAGCAGGACTCTGTGATGTGAGCTGAATGTGGTTTTCCCTGGAGCAGAAGGCAGCATATTGAGCTCCAGAATCTCTCTGTGCCGTTCAGCATTACTGGAGCATCACAGAAGAGCAGGTCACCTTCACCCAGAGCACCGACACAACCCCAGACCATGACAGAGCCGGGCTTCTTGTTGCTGGTGTCAGTCTGGATGATCCTCTTCTTCTTTGGTCTGGAGCACACGGTGTCCATTTCTCCCAGAAACACCTGAAACACTGCTTCATCTGAGCACAGGACACGTCTCCACTGTGTGATGCTCCATCCCAGACACCTCCGAGCCCAGAGAAGCGCTTCTGGACACTGTTAACATAGGGCTTCCTCTTGGCACAGTGCAGTGTTGGCTGGTGTTTGTGGATGTGACTCTGTATTGTGCTGCTTGTCACAGGTTTAGCGCAGTAGTGCTGAGCCCATGTGCTGATCTGTTTATAGATGAATGAGGACTCTTGATGCAGCGCCCCCTGAGGGGTCGGAGGTCACGGTTGTTCAGCTTAGGCTTGCGCTCTTGTCCTTTACGCACTGAAACTCCTCCAGACTCCTTCAGTCTTTAATGCTGTTCTGCACTGCTGAAGGTGAAATCTCCACATGTCTTCCTCTCTTCCTCTGAGGAGCATTGTGTTCACACACTTCACTCATATTCTCTCATATTTGTGGTCAAACTGGAGATCCTCGACCCGTCTCTGCTCCTAAAGCACTAGAGCTTTCCTGATGAGCAGATCATCATCACATCACCTGTGGACATCACCTAAAGATCTGTGGAGTTCAGTGTGGGTCTACTGATGAGCCTTCAGTGATGATTACAATGGACTTTGGAGGGGGCGGGGCTGTAGTGGGTGGGTACTAATGTGGAGGCGGGACTCTGGATGGGTGGGGCTAGTATGTTCACTAATAAATGATTCAGACGGTCTTGTTCATCTCTCAGATAATACTCTACATGCAGTTGAACCTGTCTAGTTTACATGTTTGGCACAGGCTAGAGCAGGTCTTTCACAACAGATGTTTGTATATAATCACAGACTTGACTGATGTGTTTGGCTCCATCTACTGGCGTTTCTCTGAACTACCGCAGGTCAGATTTTACAGCACAGAATGCGTGTGCGTTAACTCTGACAGTGATGGTCATGTTTGCTGATCATTATTTTATTTCAGTGAGCGCCGTTAGTTTTGTTTTGGTTTAGTCTTTAATGAACTCTTCATTTGGTTTCAGTTAATGAAAATGTTTGGTCCGGTAGTTTTAGTCTTCATGTACTGCATCAGCCCAGGGTAAATTGAATGTTCTGAGCATGTTGTGTGTGTGTGTGTGTGTGTGTGTTCTCACTCAGCTGTGGATCCTCCCGGCGTTCGGCTGCCGACCGCAGTACGATAACCCTCTGGAGAACGAGACCTTCGGCACCAGCGTCTGGACCACCGTGCTGAACGTGGCCATCCCGCTCAACCTGTTCTACCGCATGCACTCGGTGGCGTCGCTCTTCGAGGTCTTCCGGAAGGTCTGAAGATCCTCCAAACTGAAGACGCTCTCAGGCCTGAGGACTCTGTTTACACTCGCATGGATGATGTTCTCCAGATCCTGTTCTCCACTCGCACCCTTGAAGCCCGCCGGACGCTCTAGATTCTCTTTCAGCAGAATGAATAGAACTGAAGTAGAACTGAAGTCAGAGGAGTTTCGCTCCTGAAGATGCCAAAATGACTGGAGAGATTCTCACTGTTTTCTGAAGTAAAGTTCGAGGTAAAGTCAGAGAAATAAATGTATTTTCCTTTTGAATAAAATCTTTTTTGTACTCGTTTCAGTCTCGTGATCTTCAGTTGTTTTGCTTCTCTGGTAAATGATCTTAGGCATGTTCCATCTTGTTTTAGCGTTTCAGCTCAGTGTAGTCTGGACATTTGTGTTGTCAGTTTAGTGGAGCTGAACTGTGCGGAGTTTATAGTAGAACACTGCAGGGTTTGAAGCGCACTATAGTGAGTGCTGGAATTAATCTGCGCTGCCTAAGACGCTATGGTAACCCAACAACTATAATAATATAAACAACTGAGCCACAGTTTACTGTAGTGGGCTGCAGTATTGATCATGGTCGATCAGTTCACTATAGTCAGTACTACAGTATGCTGCAGCGTCACTAACAGAGCTGAATGCTGTAATATTCACTCTACACTCGCAGAAATAAAGGTACTCGAGCTGTCACTGGGGTGGCCCCTTTTCAAAAGGCACACATATTGGTACCTCACGGGTCGATATTGGTACCTAAATATTTTAAGTGGAACACTTTTGCACTCTTAAGGTACTAATATGTGCCTGTGAGGAATTAATATGGACTTTTTAGGTACAAACTTGTACCTTTTCCCAGTGACAGCTCACGCACCTTTATTTCTGAGAGCGTAAACACTACTATTTAAACACCATTTAGTATAAATAGCAATCGTTTTGTATTTGTGTTTATGGGTGTTTCCCAGTGATGGGTTGCAGCTGGAAGCGCATCTGCTGTGTAAAACAATAGTTGGAATAGTTGGTGGTTCATTCCGCTGTGGCGACCCCTAGATAAGGCATTAAGCTGAATGAAAATGAATGAATGTGCTGTTATAAACGCTGATGAATCCAGCAATGATTTAACACCTCAAACATGAGTAAACCTCAGATGATGCTGTCGGCATGCTCACTGATGCAGGATCAGCTCAGAGTGTTCAGGGTTCTGCTGCTGTGCAAAGGTTCAGGACACCCTGGAGTACTGTTTAGAGATTGTAGCAGATGTGTGTGTGTGTGTGTGTGTGTGTGTGTGTTCAGACACTGTAAGCTCCTGTCAGCTTTAATTGTGGGGAAACTGGATCATTTGGAGCTGTTCTCAGCTAATTTCATCTTCCAGGTTTAGAATGATTATTGGGGCGGATCAGACTCAGAGGCGTGGCGCTCATCTGCCAGTGGAGCGATGAGGAATGGTTTCTCATTATTATTCATAGCGGAGTTTCCTGAAGGCAAGGCAGACCCACTTAAGCGGCCAGACCCAGTGATTGGGTTAGAAGTGTCTGCACAAACCCTTTAACAGGAGATTCACATTCTGGACATCATCAATTAATCATGCAGGAGGACGAGTGTGTGTGTGTGTGTGTGTTTAGATCAATCTGTTGTTCAGCTGCATTTCAGGCACAAACACACACTGACATATAACTCTGAAACAGACATCCTCACACACAAACACACGCAGACACAGAGAGACTGATTACACACACACACACTCACACACACACATATATCCGTGCCGCAGCCCCACAGCGCTCCCTCACTGAAGCTGAGCAGGGCTGAGGCTGGTCAGTGTCTGGATGGAGAGCACAACACTGGGCTGCTGTAGGCCGTGGTGTTAGTGAGGTCAGCAGGGGGCGCTCAACCTGCAGTCTGTGTGAGTCCTAATGCCCCAGTAGAGCGCCGTCTTTCAGATGAGCTGTTAAACTGAGCTCCTGACTCTCTGTGTTCATTAATAACCCCATGGCACTTCTGGTAAAGAGTAGTGGTGTAACCCTGGTGTCCTGGACACACTCCCTCCATCAGCTCTTACCCATCATGGCCTCCGATCATCCCCATCCACTGATCTGCTCCATCACTGTCTCTCCACTCCACCTATATCTGCTGTGTGGTGAAGCGCTGGCGCTGCTGTCCTGTGGCTGCCGGAGCATCATCAGGTGGAGCTGCACACTGCTGGTGGAGTGGAGAGACCCCTCATGATGGTGAAGCGCTGTGGGTGTATGACCATACAGGATACATGCGCTATATACACACACACACACGTTACAATACATACACACACACACACACTCAGATATATCAGACACAATCACACACACACATGCATGAATTCAGACATGCACACTCAGACACATCACACACACACACTCACACACACACACACACACACACACACATACACACACACACACACACACACACACACTCACATACACACACACACACACACACACACACACACACACACACACAGATGGGCCCCTGATGCTCCAGATGTGCTCATCTCTTGACAGCTCCAGGTGTTCCCAATATTCATGAATTCCCACAATCCCCTGCAGCCGGATCAGCTGTGTGTGTGTGTGTGTGTGTGTGTGTGTGTGTGTGTGTGTGTGTGTGTATCAGCAGCAACTGAGGCTGTGCTTCTGACACTGCTGCAGCCAATCCTCACATTTTTCATGTGTGAGAGAGACACACACACACACACACACACACACACATTTGTATATGAACATATTTATACATGTACACAACACACACATGCACTTTCTATAACTCTCTATCTCTCTCTCTCACACACACACACACACACTTTGTGAGAGTGTAGACAGTAGTTGAGTGTGTGTCCTCTGGGTGTCGCTGTGGGTTCATCAACACACACTGATGATGCAGAGCTGATGAATGACTGACCACTGGAGCCCTCAGCAGAGAAGACACACACACACACACACACACACACACACACACACACACACACACACACACACACACACACACACACACACACACACACACACACACACACACACACACACACCATTCTCTGTGTTCTATTTCAGACTGTACCAGAGTAATGCAGCACTGAGGCTGATTGTGTGTGTGTGTGTGTGTGTGTGTGTGTGTGTGTGTGTGTG